TGATTACAGCAACACATAGCTTTTTATGTGGTCAGTGTGTACTGTACTGTAACTGAGGAAACTGTGTAGAGGTGCAGATGGAGGATCCTTTCCACCGATGTTTTGTTTGATTGCCTCTGATCTCTTCAATCTTGGCAAGCCACTTCTTTTAATATGTCCACAGCCATAACACAGGGGTTAGTCCTTCATAGATGAACTGCGAGGACTGACAGCTCCCAATAAATTAGGTAGGCTTTAGAGAAGAAAACCAAATAATAACCCTTTAAATGTCTGGACCATCTTCAATTTTCAAATCTCTTTGTGGGTCGCTGACCTTACCAGGATTTACTGACCTAGCTGGATTTTACCGTGCCATCTAATATACTTGCCTTTTTTTTCTAGCTCCCCGGGGCCTATAGATGTTCACCTCAGGATAAAGACATTGTTACTGTGACTGAGGTATGTTGCTTTAGAGACTGACTTCCACTGCCACATGGGGTCCCGGGGGAGTCACGCTAACGTTAGCCTGATCTATCTGCTTCGCTATTGGTATTGATCCATGTTTAGTGTCGATGCTGGCACTGGGGAGTAATGATCACGGACAGCCAGTCGGACACACACCGCCGGAGCATTGCAGGGCGGGATACAATCAGTCTAAACATTATAGGAGATGCACGGCGAATTGCTGCACACACACACATATCCACACCTGCCTGAACACACACACACAGCAGTACAAAATGTTCTCTTTCTACTCCTGTCGCACTGCAGAGCCTCTACTGCTCCGCTCCAGCAAAAAACACCCATCGCAATAAGCTGAGTCGAGCTGATATAGCCACAACAACTGAGCAAGAGATGCCAAACCCTCCCCTCCACCACACACACACACAGACACACACCTCCTCCTTTCTCTCTGCAGCCGAAAGCCAGAGCAGACAGATAAGCAGGCAGCCAGAGACGGACTAATCCTCCCACAGTGAGAGACGTTTTGGATGGTATATGATGAAAATCAAGCTAGAGAGACACACAGAGAAAGAGGGAGTGGATGAGGGAGGCTACATGGGGAGGAATGAGAG